CACAGGATTTAGTAAGAGCCATCACTATCAGAGATGGAGGAAACAGGAACTTTGATTAAAATACTCTCCCTGGTTATCAGAGACTTGAGAAGAGCGGCGGAATGTCCCACGGGGCTTGCACCTCGGCGGCGGGGAGGTCGTGCATGTCTGCACGGTTCCAGACCCGATGATTGTGAAGTCTGACTAACAGGAATTCTTAAAATGTCTCATTGCATCTGTTTCATACGGGCCGTTAATCTCATTTTAAAAACATTGAGGTTTATAACCGTCTTCCTCCCTCGAGGCTTCAAGTCGAGCGACTAAGAAACCTTTTCTCCAACATGTGTAAACTTTAATTTGACAGGTTATAAACGCTGCTCTACAACTGAACTTTGGAATTATGTGTTTCACATTTAATAACCCAGTGCCATAATATATATCATATATGATAATATATATGATCGTGTGTAATCTAAACGACATATGTAACATCTTTCTGATCTCGTGTTCGTGTCAGAGACTCGACTGAACAACAACCTCAGGACACGTCTTTAAATCTTCTTATGTTGTCTGCGTTGGCTTGTTTTAATCTTTGATCACTGCAGCTCGTCTTTTAAAGTGACTACAGTGTTTAGTTGATTCATTTGGAAGAAAGGCCGGTTTATTTCTGGGTAAACTTCAGGTTGTGCCCACACTGAATATTGCACCTGTAGTGAAAGTGTTGTGTGCGTTTGGCAGGAGAGTGGAACCCCACTAGACACACTCAGTTTTCATCTTGAAGACAAAGTTTTCTTACCCGATTTTTATGTTATTAATTTCTCTCAAATTATTTTTAATTGTTTTAAATGTTATTTTAATCGTTATGAAAGCACTATGATTTGCCTTGGTGTCTGGATTGGTGCTGTTATAAATAAACTAGCACTTCTACTTCTGAATAACTCTGAGTTTACTTTGAATGGCCAAATACTCCTGAAATGTTTAAGTAAAAGAAAAGTAAAGAAATCAGAACCTTCTGCCAGCTGGTGTTATGATTCTGACTGACTCTTCTGCTCACTGATGTGGACACCAGATTGCTGCTCCTCCTCCTACCTCCTTCCTCCTCTGCTCTCCTCCCTTCTTGTAAGCCACTTGGCTGGTCACCATGGTGACAGACCTTGTTGCTCCAACGCCAACGGGACAGTTTAGTTGCACAAGCAGTGGGTGATGCTACTGTGGAGACACTTGGTCCCTCTGTTCTCTGTCTGAGTTGCAGTTAAAAACCAAACAAGGGTGGTTCGGATCCGCAGTGTTCAGCGGTCGTCGTCATTGGCGAAATAATACTAAACAATATTTAATCAGATATAAACAACTCCTCTCCCAGTGTAGGAAAAGAAAAACTTTATAGAGCGTCAAAGCTCTTCTTGAAAACAGGGTTAGTTTAAGAAATGAAAAGTAAGAAATGAACCTTTTTACACATTATAATGAAAAAACTGTCTTAAACTAACGTATCACAGCTGGTGGATCGAGAATACTACAACAGACAAATCAGTTCTGTGTCGACCAATGAACTCACACGAAGGACAGAAAAAACAAACAGGCGACATAGAAAACACCAAAGAACAAGTTGTTTTTTCTCAAGCACTGGAGATTCCTCATACAAAATGTTCGTTTTACAGGGGAAGGTTATTTAGCATCTGTTAAATCCACAGTTTCATGGTTTTGACAGTTTGATACTTAAAACTATGTAGTTGCTCTTTTGCAGAAAATAAATATCTATAATTATTTGTTTCCTTTGATGAAAAAAACTATTACAACCTTAATATTAAAGAAAGACCAGAATTCCTTTTGAAATGATCTTTTCCCAGAAGAGTTTTGTCATTCCTACACTGCCAGTGAATGAAACGACGTCCCTTCCCCTCAGTAAATTTAACATAAATCGTGCGGATATCGGAGTGCCACTAAAAACCACAGAGAGAGGCTCCGTGCCTGCTGACAAGTGAATCTCTGCATCCTGTTATTTTTATACAGCAGGAGTCACGTCCTCAGTGGTTGTCTGGGCCTTTTTGATCTTTTCCTTTCGTCTGAATACATTGAGCCTAAAACTGTTCAAATTTACAAAATCACAACAGTAATATTCATTTACCTTGGTTCTTTTCAGAGCTCCAAACTTTTTTTGCTGTTGTGTGGTGTGTGTGTGTGTGTGTGATGTGTGTGTGTGTTGAAATGTGTGTGTGTGTGTGTGGGTGTGTGTGTGGTTTCTCAGAAGACCAAACCTTCCCACAGTGATGTACTTTTATATTGAGTATACTGCTGGTTCAACCTGAGTGAAATGTTTTCAAAAACAAAGAAATGTTAACAAAATGAAATAAAAATAGATAATTTAAACCTCTTAAACCATTTTAAAAAAAAGAAAGCCATTAATTCTATTAGACAAGTAGCATTGTCTGTTAAAGCGATAGCAAGCTGGGGGAAACGACACACACACACTGCAGCTCAATTGTTGGACAATTAAAGATGAACAAGTAAAAATTTTACAGAGAAAATAAAATAGTATTATTATCTGTTGTACGTTGGTTGATCAGGAAAGAAATCTCAGATGAAAATGAACAGCAAAATTTACATAACAAACCAAAATGAGATACCTTTCTCATAATAAGCAGGCTGTATTGGCGTCAACTCAGTGCAAGCAGCGATGAAGGTGATCCCAGGAAACCAGACGAGGGATCCACGGGCCAGGCTGAGAGCGCTCACACAAAGGCTTCATTATATGGAGCCACTCTTCCGTTTCTTTCGGGGAAGCTGGAGTTTAATGGAGTTTAAAGCAAATTAACCGTCAAATCATAAATGTCAATGACGTTACGCTGGAGAGACCATGCACGGTTACACCAGCAGCACATGCATGAATGGACAGTTAAAAGTTCCTTCTACACAGCCAGGAGGCCGGTCGCTAGAACAACAGCCAAAATGTTGAATCTTTGTTTGAGTGTTTGGATTCAGACATAAAAACACCAAGACGATCTCTTTGTTCTAAACAATTAATGGCCCTTTATATCATATCTGGATCACGTTTGAACTAAAACGCATCAAGCCAAACAGTCTCACCGGCTGGTGAGAATCCGTCACTTGTAAGAGGGCGTAGACGTACAGAAAACTCCAGAAGATGGCCGCCGTTTTGGCGATCAAAGCTGATTTTAAAGAGCAGCACCAGGTTATACAATAGTTAGGTCTTTCATTGTTTTAGCCTGTAATTGTCGGCTCTCGTTGGTTAAGTTTCCTCTGCCCGTCCCTTTCCCATTGGATGATGGGATGTGGTCAGTGTAATGTGGAGGTGCGACTGCCAGTTCGCGAACGGTAGTCGACCAGTCCCGCCAGACAGTCCTGCAAAACGTCTTCTTGTTCTGACTCTCTGGGCCCAGTTTTACAGTTAATGAAATGATTTCCTGGGTGAACCGGTAGGAAAGTGAATGGAGGCAGCTGGGGACTTGGTGGTTTAAGATACCTGAAGCGTTTCGCCTCTCGTACAAGAGGCTTCTTCAGTTCTGGAGACTGAGAGGGGGAACACATCCGGACCCCAGATGTTTTTTTTAAATGGATTTAAAAAATGAGGTTTAAACCGTGGGTCAAGGTTGGGACAGGCCAGTCTGACGGAGTCTATGGAACTGCGTTAAATTGCTGAGTACTGGATGCTCACCTGAGACGAGACGTGTTGTAATCTGGGTTCCTTGCGTTTCTCTCTTGCCCCTTATCTTGAAGTAAGTGAATGTGAAATCTGCCATGTTCAGAGAGTTGGATAACTAACATGAGCTCCCTTCTGATGAAACCTGCCCACTCTCCCTCCACAATTTGAAATGAAGTTGTGTGGTTGGGAATAGAGCCAATAGTCCAAACTTAATAAACACCACATGGAGGGCAGTTGCCTTATCGTGGCGTGATGACTCTGAATCTTGACTTGTGTTGGAAAATGTGCGCAACTGGCAACTTACCAAGCTGTTGCTTTACCTTTCGCCACGCCACTTGGATATCGCCCACAGTCATTGCTGACCTAAGCAAGATGGAGGTCATTAGGTCACTCATTCGGGTTCTTGTAACTACTAATCAGTTTAATCCCGTGTTTTTTTAACAGCTGTTTAAATTTGAATTAATTTTATATACGTATAGTACTAGTATGTGTACATTATATTCCACCAGTAAACATATAAAAGAACCTGCGTGAACAGCATCTGTGAACTTCACCGTCGTAGTAGACGATCGGCTTTTAATAAACCAACTCCACGACCACGAATTGCAAAAGTTGCTGATGTTGTTCCTAATCTCTCTCAAGCAAACACAATGAATATCGGTAAATAAAATCCACCAGCTCCAAGGCCTTGGTTCTTACTGTTGAGTACAGCCTTCAAAGCTAGCTCTCACCTAAAAAAACGGCCAATAGTCCAACTTGTAATACCAACCAGCCACTATCAGAATCTTGACAGTTCGTTATCCAGCACCCATTATGCCAATGTAAGGTGATCCTCATGATCGCTAATGTAAGTAAGTACTAGAGGCAATTCCCCTGTATGAAAGTGACACCATTACTATTTCATTTATTTTT